TATGTATGTATGTATGTATGTATGTATGTATGTATGTATGTATGTATGTATGTATGTATGTATGTATGTATGTATGTATGTATGTATGTATGTATGTATGTATGTATGTATGTATGTATGTATGTATGTATGTATGTATGTATGTATGTATGTATGTATGTATGTATGTATGTATGTATGTATGTATGTATGTATGTATGTATGTATGTATGTATGTATGTATGTATGTATGTATGTATGTATGTATGTATGTATGTATGTATGTATGTATGTATGTATGTATGTAATGTATGTAATGTAATGTATGTATGTAATGTATGTAATGTATGTAATGTATGTATGTATGTATGTAATGTATGTATGTATGTATGTATGTATGTATGTATGTAATGTATATGTATGTATGTATGTATGTATGTATGTATGTATGTATGTATGTATGTATGTATGTATGTATGTATGTATGTATGTATGTATGTATGTATGTATGTATGTAATGTATGTATGTATGTATGTGTAATGTAATGTAATGTAATGTATGTATGTATGTATGTATGTATGTATGTATGTATGTATGTATGTATGTATGTATGTATGTATGTATGTATGTATGTATGTATGTATGTATGTAATGTATGTATGTATGTATGTATGTATGTATGTATGTATGTATGTATGTATGTATGTATGTATGTATGTATGTATGTATGTATGTAATGTAATGTATGTATGTATGTATGTATGTATGTATGTATGTATGTATGTATGTATGTATGTATGTATGTATGTAATGTATGTATGTATGTATGTATGTATGTATGTACGTATGTAATGTCATGATGTGATGTGATGTGATGTGATGTGATGTGATGTGATGTGATGTATGTATGTAATGTATGTATGTATGTAATGTAATGTAATGTAATGTATGTATGTAAGTATGTAATGTGTGTATGTATGTTAGGTTATGTTCTGTGATGTTATGCTATGTTATGTTATGTTCTGTTATGTTATGTTATGTATGTATGTATGTAATGTGTGTGTATGTATGTAATGGAATGGAATGGAATGTAAATGTAATGTAATGGAATGTAATGTAATGTAATGTGTGGTGTAATGTAAGGCATGTGTGTATGTATATTTGTTTTCGGTTCTGCATGTGGGTATGTGGCAGTTCATAGTATCTCTGTGTGTGTGTGATGGTGTTTGTTTGTGTGTGTGACTGCCATCAGACTGAGCTGCAAGTCTTGAGGTGGTATCACTGCTGGCTTGAAGCAAATCTCCGAAAACCAGAAGGACAGACAGTGGGCGAAGAAGTGCAACCGCCGTTGTGTTCCTGATTGTTCTAGGAGTGGCCAGCTCGCCAGAATTGGGCACTAATATTCAAGCATGCCTCCCTTCCCAGGAAGGGCGAGTGGAACGATTGTCCAAAACGACACGTTGCCATCTCGCCAGGACTTGCTGAAGCCCGTGTCAGATGACAAAAAACCAGCGATAAAGGCCAGGACTCGCCGTGTTTGCCAGGTCCAAGGTGGCATTTGAGCATTCGCATGGTGGAACTGTTTGGCCTCAAATGCGCGGCAGTCATACGATGTGCATGTTCTGTTTCCGGCGTGGCCCAGTGGAAAGGGTGGGCCTGGCAGTCTGGAGGAGATGCTCAGCACGCTGGGCACCACATTCGATCAGATCTTGGAGGCAGCTACGCATTCATGCGGAGCTGTGAGCGCTGAAGGTTGGTCGGTTTGAGTCTTCTGAACCTTCTTGGCATTTCTTGAAACTCAGTTAGCCGCCGATGAGTTTGGCAATGGTGCGACTTGACAAGGGCTTGATCAAGCCTATGAAATCCCTCAGAACAGTTTGTCCACTTGCTAGCGTAGGAGCCTTGCCAAGGACAGCGTTGCTGTTTAAGGCTACCCTTTCCGGGGTTGCTTCAAAGAGACGCGAGAGAGAAGGCAGACATTTGTAGCCCTGATTTTTTGAGACAAACAGTGACAACCCGAAGCGTGTGACCGACAGGAGATCGGTGGGGCTGAGTATGGCGGCACTGGAACCCCATACCAGGCGGGCACGGCCTCAACCAAGGTGGCCATGCAAAATAAGCCCGCCTTGATGAGCCATTGGCTGCCAAGTTGCCAGTTACTTTGGGCCTGTTTGGTTGATTGGGCATTTTACTGTTCAGTCTAGCATGCCCAGTCTATCAGGTATAATTGAGCAAAGCTGGATGGCGGAAGTTTCATGGAGTTCCTAAGCAACAATGTGCCTATCGGAGACGAATTGTTTTCGTGGAGCGTCTCTTCTCTTCTCTTCTTTCTCTTCTCTGAGCATCTCGTGTTTGTTCTTCTGTTTCTCTTCCTCTTTCTCTTCCTCTTTCTTCACACTTTCTCTTTGTCTTTCACTTCCTCTTTGTTTTCGCTCTTTCTCTTTGCCTTTCTCTGCTCTTTCTCTTCCTCTTTTTGTTTTCCTCTTGCTTTCTCTCTCTCTCTCTATTTCCCTGTTTTTTTTTCTTCTTCTTTTCTTTTCTCTTTTCTTTTCTCCTTTCTCTGCTCTTTTCTTTATCTTGTCTTCTCTTCCTCTTTCTTTTTTTATTTATCTTTCTCTTCCCCTTCCCTTCTCTTTCTCATTCCCTTCTTTCTTTGCTCCCGTCCTTCTTTCTTCCTTGTTTTCTTTTGCTTTTTTGTTCTGTCTGTCTGTCTGCCTCTGTTTCTTTTTGTCTGTCTTTCCTTCCTTCCTTCCTTCCTTCCTTCCTTCCTTCCTTCCTTCCTTCCTTCCTTCCTTCCTTCCTTCCGCGCCTGCCACGGAATTGGGCGCAGCAGTTCGCGCGCCCACTCCAATGCCATTCGCAGGTCGCGCGACTTACCTTCCCAAAGTCGCGCGACTTACCTTCCCAAAGTGCTGCGCCTGTCACGAGTTCTGCTGCCCATGGGAACAAACCGCTATACCTGCTACGAAATCTGCACCTGACCTTGCGAAAGTGCTACACCTGCCATTGGGCAACTTTCCAGACAGCGGCGAACCTGCGGCGAGACCGCGGCGAACCCGTGCGCTGAACAGAGGTAGCCTTCGTGATCTTGCCAAACTAAATATGCCGCGCCTGCCACACAATTCCTTCCGTCTCTATCTCCTTCTTTGTATTTTTTGCTTACTATTTCCATTTCTTTGCACGACTCTGCTATTTCAACCTTTCCTAGTACGGAAGTTTTCTAGCTAAACTTCCTTTGGTTAGCCTAGCAGTTGGCCGTCATGTCGCTGTCAGCCGGCATGGCCATGCTGTGCTCAAAGGTCCAGATGTGCCGGTTGAGGACACAACTTTTGCAAAATCCGGCCCCACATTCTCGGCTTGGGCTGACCAATGGAGATATGGGGAGCTGGGGAAATCGAACCTAGCGGCATGAAACATACATATGAGTATTATAGCTAAAGGCTCGTTTCAGTTTGAATGGAATGTTCTCGACAAAGCGTAATTACTCCCTGTCAATTCGTCCCCAGGTTGTTTCAGTAAGGAACCGGGGTACCAAGGGTAGGGCGACTCTTGGTTTGGTTGATCCCTAGTCCTCCAGAAGGCAGGCTCAATCCTTTCATTCTGATTGGGTAGTCCCGTATTTTGAAGCACCCATGCGAAGAAAAGAGAAGCAGTCGAGGCCGGAGGGAACCACCCAGACTAGACTCGAGGCATCAATGTTCAACACCACTTGCATGTGTGGTGCATGTTTTCATCCATCCATGGCAGAATACAGAGTGTTCCTGCCACTGGGAGGCAGACATGGTGGAGAAATGCTTGAAGAGCAGCCGACTTAGCCTGACATGCATAACCTCTAGCTTCCCATTGACTTGCTGCTCTTGGGCTTCTCGTGTTCGTGGGACTCTTGCATGCGCACGCACGAGCAGGGCACGAAGCAACATTGGACATGAGATTGATTGCGTGCTTGCGTAGTTGAATGGTTCGGGCGTTGGTTCTGCGTAATATTTAGTTCTGGTTTGGGAGATGAGCGAACGTGAAGTTGACCAAGGTGCTGACAAGGCACAAGAGACAATTGGCCAGATTGAGGCCTCGGAAAAAGTGCACCTTGCCACATTCCAGCACTGATTTGCAGGGCAACTGCGAATGATCCATTTCCACCGGCATGTTTGTCGCCATCGCAGGAAATGATGCTTCCGGCAGGGTACCAATCAAAGGTGCAGTGCATTTGGTTGCAAGAATGACATTGCTTGAGCCAAAGCATATGTTGCCTGGCATGCAGCGCACAAAGCCTTTGCCGTGGTTTGCCTATGTGGGTCCAGGCAGCGGCCCATTTGCAGCAAGTTTGGCTGCGAGCTTTCTGGCCCAAAAGTTGGCAAGCTCGTCCGACTGGAGACGTGCCGCAATTAGAAGCGTGCTGCCTGCCGTCATGTGCAAAGACGAGGGACAACAGGGGCCTTCATCAAATGATGTCTTCACCCCCGTTGGACTGAGCTATGATGGAGGTTTTTGTGGTGGGCTGAGGTGCCTTGGCCAGCATAAAGCCCCTGTAAACCGTGCTTCCACTGCCGGGTTTGGATGCCAATGGATTTCCAAAGCAGTGGATTTCAAAAGCAGCAACGTATGCAAAGGCGCGACTATCGCCAGCGATTCAGCTGCGCATTCCTGAAATCTGATTGGCTGTCAGATGTGGCAAAGTCGAAGACCATCTCTGGCAGCTCGTCACACTGTTTCAATGCAGTGCTTTTTATGCCCTGGTAGGCAATCTCGGGTGGTTGGCAGTTAATGAGTATATGCTTGCATGCTTGCATGCTTGCATTCTTGCACACTTGCACACTTGCACACTTGCATTCCTGTCAGGTTCCTTGTTTCTCTTTTTTGCTACTTTCACCTCAACTATTGCGCTGGGCAAGCACATCAATGACGTGACCCACGGGGTCGGGAGCTTGGACGCAAGGGCCGGATCCAGTGTGCAAGGCTCCAAGACCAATGCGTTTCAGGCGTTTTAGCTCATGACATGTCATGGCAAATGGATGTTTAGACTATGCAGGTGACAAAGGAACAACACGTTTGCGGCCAGGTTATTGGGATCAACGAGTACGTCCTCATGAATAGCATCTCCGGAATGTTGCATTCAGTGATTGGCTGTCAGCCGCTCCTAGTTCTGCGGCCCACAGGGCCCATCACTCTCCTCATCGAGAAGCTCCACGAGGCCAGCGACTGGCTCTCCCTGCCTTTCTGGCCACTGCTGGCCTGGACTGGCATGTTCGTCGGTGCCCGGCTCGGACTTGTAGCATCTTGTAGCTGTATGGCCCTTTGGCTCAGTGCGCCGTTCTGAACCCGAGGTCTGTACATGTTTCTCATCGCTGCTTTTGAAGTAAGCAGACTCATCAAGTATGTCACAGCCTTCACAGAGAACATCTTCGCCATGTTTATCGGCACTGCCAGCACCTGAGGTGTCAGATGCGCTGTCGTAGTCATAAATTATGTCCGCTCTTGCTGTGTAACTGCTTCCTCTTAGGTCTACATCAATGACGGAGTTCAAGGTATGATTAGGTTATGGAGCAGCGCTCAAGCTGATGTGGAAGCGCAGAAGTTGTTGGTCTTGAACATGACATTGGGCTGCACACTCCTGGCCCTTTTCCTCAGCAATTTGGACGGCACATCATGGGCCACATATCGCATTCGAATGATTCTCATGGATTATGCGCTTGCCTTAATTTGCAGAGCTACCATGGTTTGCGGCATTGCCCGCGCATGGCCAGTGTTGCAAGAAATCCCCCGAGCCGCTCTTTGGCAAGGCGCTGACAATATCCATTTTCATTCTTGCTGGCGTGGCGGCCCTTCTCAACGCGCATTTCTTTCCGGTTGACTTCATCGACAGCACCAGCCTAGGCATTGGTCTTGCAAAAAGCGCTGCCCGTGTGGCTCCAGCCAGCCATTGACTTTGGAGAGAGGCAACCAAATTCCTTCTAATTAGCAGGCTAAAAAGACTTGCTCGGTACATGCTGGCGCCATCAGCCCTTGCCTCACAGCTAGGCTTCACCACTACTGCGGGCCGTGCCTGGACTACAAACTTAGCAGATACCACCCCGGAGGGTGTTTTGGCCGCCGCAGTAGCTGCCATCCCTATTGTATTGTTCTTCTTCTTGGACCAGAACATATCCAGCATCATGTGCCAAAAGGCAGGCATGCACATCCAGAAGGGCGCTTACTACCACTCCTCCTTCGCGTGCATGGCTCTATTCAACTTTTTGGGGCCTATTTGGGGCTTGCCTTTTGTGACCGGCTCTCTTCCCCATTCTCCGCAATTTGTCCATGCAATGACTGTTACTGATGCGAAGCACAAGCCAGTGGGAGTTGTGGAGAACCGCATCGCCCCGTTCGTTGGCTATGGCTTAATGATGCTTGCTTTAGTATTTCCCAAGCTCATCAGCCTGCTGCCGGAAACGGCCGTGTACGGGGCCCTCACCTACGTAGGCTTGAAAGCAGCTATGGGAACACAGCTTTGGGAGCGCTTTCTCCTCTTCTTTACTGACCCGCAGTACCATCCTGCTGATAAGGGCAACTTGGCAGTGTTTTGATTTTGTTTTTCTTCTGCCTGGGCCAAGCCGCACTCAGAGCAGAAGCACAGCCACGCATGTTTCGCGTGTTTGGATTTAGGCAAATGACGTAACTCAGTGTGAGCTGCCAGAACTGACCCAAGGATGGAGCCATTTGCCCCGTAGAACTGTGCATTTCTTCACGGCAATACAGCTTCTACTCGTCGTGGGCTGCTGGCTTTGCAATATCTACATTGGCCTTGGTTTTCCACTTTTCGCTGGAAGCTTAGAAAATCAAGGCTCGGGTGGCGGCGGCTCCTAGGGTGGAGCGCCTGAAGCCAGATTTGAATTCTGAGGTTGTGACTCTCATCCCAATTCGGTTCAAAGTCTTGCCCTGCCTCTTCTCAAACAAGGACATCGAGTCGCTGTTGTCAGAGGACAGGGGACGGTGAAACATGCAAGTGATCAGGAAGCTTGCTTCAGTTGGCTCATAAGACTGGGCAGGACAAGCCAGCAGAGCCACAGAGCGCCGATGACCTGCAAAACGCTGACCCAGAGAAAGTTAGCCCGCCTGTTCCAGACGAGGAGCACGTCCCAGCGTGACCTTGAAAAGTTGGCAGCTGCATTTTTGCGCTGACGGTTTCGGATTCAACGGCAAAAGACAGGATAAACCTGATTCTTGCCGATGCCTTTAAAGTGCTGTGCACAGACGAAGGCATATCGCCACAAATGATACAATAAGTCCTTACAGTGGCCAGAGATCTCCAAAGGACATCTACCTGTGCCAGTTTCCTGGGGCTAGGCGGTCTTCCAGTTTGGCCGTGGCTTCCATGCACCACCAGAAGTGCATCGGGAAGCGGCGAGGCTTGAGGCTGGCTGGTAAAGGCCTGCTCTGTTTTAACACGGCATTTTGTTTCGCTCTTGAGCTTGCCCTGCCATCATAAACGTCAGCGGGAAAAGCATGGCAGCGCCCACCGTGCAGTGCGGCCCGCGCTTGTTTCAATCTCGCCCAGTTCTTAACTTCCGTGCTGCTGCCGGGTAGATTGTACAGGTTCCAGCAGAGTATGCCAACCTTCCACGCCTGGATGGTCGTACCGCCTTGCTTTGGAGTGGAAGACTACATGTTGTGTTTGGTGCTGCTATTGATCAGTAACTGAGCTTGCAGCTATACTTGTGTTTTCTCTGCTGGGCGCATTCGCATTTGCACAATGGAACATGTATACATATGTATATACAGTATATCCTTTGCAAAAGTAGGGCCGCGCCAGGCCGGGCTGTGGTCGAATGGACGCTGACAAGAGGGCCGGAAGCTGGAACAAAGACGTTTGGGGCCTGGAACCTTGCTTTTCCACGTCGCTGTTTGTGAAGCAAAAGGTTGGCCTTGCGATGCCTTGCCAAGCCGAACCCACACGCGCGCGCGCTTCTCTGACTGCCCAGCGCAAGTCGCCTCGCAGCCTCAGGTATGCACTCGATTCTGAGCTTTTCAACGAGGCGCTGAACTTGGAAGTGCCTGAAAATCATTTGCTTGGACTCGCAGAGGCAAGATGAGAGAAACAGCCTGCAAGATTCTTTGTGCGGCTGGTGTCATCATTCGGTCTTTCACTGTGCCGTAGCCTAGGCCAAGTTCAAGATGATAGTTGATGGCTATTCATCGCCGCTGTCTGCAGTGGCCTTTGTCGAGAGTGGGCATTGACGCAAGCTGGGATTGCACTTGGCATGCCACGCTTTACTGCGAGAAAAGCCATTCCCAGGCAGGCAACTTTGTCGACCTCGTGCAGCGAAGTTTCTACAATGGGTCCGCGGCATAGTCGGCGCTGCACATCATCTAGCTGGCCCACTTACAAAGTCCAGACGTTGGTAGCTGCGAAAGTTGCAGTGCTGATGATCATAACATGATTTTATATGGTAGGACCGCCACATATCAAGGTGTTCCTGAGCAATACTTGCATTGTGAGCGATATGTTCAGCGCTTATTTGAAGAAAACCGTTTATCGAGGAGAGCCTGGAATTGAGGTAGTGGAATTGAGGTAGTGAGAAGTGAGGAGCGCTTGTTTGAAGAAGTCGAGGTTAGAAGCTATGACCAAAAGCATCGCAGTGCTATTCATTATGACCAGACAGTAGTTAGTACATGTTATATTTTGATCTATAAACCTTCTGTACTACCAATAGGGCTGGCGAGGCGGGGGGATATGTGTTTCAAAAGGTAAACAAAACATCAAGCTATGTTGATCCTTTTTTTCTTGGTCTCTTTCTCTTTATGTATTGTTTGTTTGTTTTCTCTTATTTTGTTTTACTTTTATCTTTATCTTCTCTTCTTTTTCTTTTTTCTTTCTCATTCTGCTTCTCTTTCTCTTTTTGCTTCTTTCGGCCAGACAAGACTGCCCGGATTTATGTCGCTCCGGCAGATGGCAAGTTCGCCACATGATTTGCAGATTCCAACGCCAGGATGTCCATCCAGCGAGCTGATGGTTTCATCATTCAGCCGTCTGCCAAGATGTCCTTCCATCGAATGTGGAAGCTTCTTGCCGTTCTCGCGACCCAGGACCGGCGATCCGGGCCCAGCCAGCGGCAACGGGTTTCAGCCCACACCTGGAGGTCCAGCCCGGAGCCCATGTGCAAATGTGAGGCGGACACTTGCCACTGGCGGCTTCAAAAAGACGCTTTTGGCACCACTTGCATTTGATTCGAACGAAGCTGAAGTCTTTCCATGCGGATCCAGGTGAGGACCATTCCATTGGAAGTTGGCCTGCGAGGGCGCTCAGAGGCATGGACAGTGGGCGCTGCTTTGCATGTTGCATCCTATTCAGAACAGTTCTTACTTGTAGAGTTGCTTCCTTGATGCTTTTTTGGGTCTTGGCATAGATGGCAGCAATGCTACCAGTAGCCTTGCGCACATGGAGCCCGCTGGCAGACTTTGTACGGTGAGACCATCGATGAAGCGCGTTTGGTGGGAAAGGAGGTCAAGATCCCGTTCCAGGTGCGGCTGGCAGCTGTTAGTTTAGAATGTTCACGAATATTCCACTGTCCACTGGTGAGTTGTGCCACTCCCATGTTTGACACTGTGTGTCCGCTTTTTGCGATTAAACTGTTGCAGGCGGATGGAACCGTCGCTCTAGCTCGGAGAGAGTTTGACAACGACTCC